AATGAACAATAGGTTACTGAATGATCAATGGGTTATAGAAGACATCAAGGAGGAAATTAAAAAATTCTTAGAGATAAATGAAAACACAGACACAACATATCGGAATCTATGGGACACATTGAAAGCAGTTCTAAGAGGAAAATTCATTGCTTGGAGTTCATTCCTTAAAAAAAGAAAAAACCAACAAATAAATGATCTCATACTTCATCTCAAAATCCTTGAAAAAGAAGAGCAAAACAACAGCAAAAGAAGTAGAAGGCAAGAAATAATTAAAATCAGAGCTGAAATTAATGAAATCGAAACAAAAGAAACAATTGAAAAAATTGACAAAACTAAAAGTTGGTTCTTTGAAAAAATAAACAAAATCGACAGACCCTTAGCGATGCTAGTGAAGAGAAGAAGAGAGAGAACTCAAATTACTAGCATACGGGATGAAAAAGGCAATATCACAACAGACACTTCAGAAATACAGAAGATAATCAAAAACTATTTTGAATCCTTATACTCCAATAAATTAGAAGATAGTGAAGGCATAGATAAATTTCTTAAGTCATATGATCTGCCCAGATTGAGTCAGGAGGATATAGAAAACCTAAACAGACCAATATCAATTGAGGAAATAGAAGAAACCATCAAAAGACTACCAACTAAGAAAAGCCCAGGTCCCGATGGGTATACAGCAGAATTTTACAAAACCTTTAAAGAAGAACTAATACCAATACTTTTCAAGCTACTTCAGGAAATAGAAAAGGAGGGAGAACTTCCAAATTCATTCTATGAGGCCAACATCACCCTGATACCTAAACCAGACAAAGACACTTCAAAGAAAGAAAACTACAGACCAATATCTCTAATGAACCTAGATGCAAAAATCCTCAATAAAATTCTGGCGAATCGGATACAAAAACATATCAAAAAAATTGTACACCATGATCAAGTAGGATTCATCCCTGGGATGCAAGGCTGGTTCAATATACGGAAATCAATAAATGTTATTCACCACATCAATAGACTTAAAAATAAGAACCATATGATCATCTCGATAGATGCGGAAAAAGCATTTGACAAAGTACAGCATCCCTTTATGTTCAAAACTCTAGAAAAACTAGGGATAACAGGAACATACCTCAATATTGTAAAAGCAATCTATGCTAAGCCTCAGGCTAGCATTATTCTGAATGGAGAAAAACTGAAGGCATTCCCTCTAAAATCTGGAACAAGACAGGGATGCCCTCTCTCTCCACTTCTCTTCAACATAGTTCTCGAAACACTGGCCAGAGCAATTAGACAGACGAAAGAAATTAAAGGCATAAAAATAGGAAAAGAAGAAATTAAATTATCACTATTTGCAGATGATATGATTCTATATCTAGCAGACCCAAAAGGCTCTACAAAGAAACTATTAGAGCTAATAAATGAATTCAGCAAAGTGGCAGGATTTAAAATCAACACGCATAAATCAAAGGCATTCCTGTATATCAGCGACAAATCCTCTGAAATGGAAATGAGGACAACCACTCCATTCAAAATATCTTCAAAAAAAATAAAATACTTGGGAATCAACCTAACAAAAGAGGTGAAAGACTTATACAATGAAAACTACAGAACCCTAAAGAGAGAAATAGAAGAAGATCTTAGAAGATGGAAAAATATACCCTGTTCATGGATAGGCAGAACTAACATCATCAAAATGGCGATATTACCAAAAGTTCTCTATAGGTTTAATGCAATGCCAATCAAAATCCCAATGGCATTTCTTGTAGAAATAGAGAAAGCAATCATGAAATTCATATGGAAAAATAAAAGACCCAGAATAGCAAAAACAATGCTAAGCAAGAAGTGTGAATCAGGCGGTATAGCGATACCAGACTTCAAACTATACTACAGAGCAATAGTAACAAAAACAGCATGGTACTGGTACCAAAACAGGCGTGTGGACCAATGGTACAGAATAGAGGACACAGAAACCAATCCACAAAACTACAACTATCTTATATTTGATAAAGGGGCTAAAAGCATGCAATGGAGGAAGGATAGCATCTTCAACAAATGGTGCTGGGAAAACTGGAAATCCTTATGCAACAAAATGAAACTGAATCCCTTTCTCTCGCCATGCACAAAAGTGAATTCAAAATGGATCAAGGAACTTGATATCAAATCAGAGACGCGCCGTCTGATAGAAGAAAAAGTTGGCTACGATCTACAGTCGGTGGGGTCGGGCTCCAAATTCCTCAATAGGACACCCATAGCACAAAAGTTAATAACTAGAATCAACAAATGGGACTTACTCAAACTAAGAAGTTTTTTCTCAGCAAAAGAAACAATAAGAGAGGTAAATAGGGAGCCTACATCCTGGGAACAAATCTTTACTCCTCACACTTCAGATAGAGCCCTAATATCCAGAGTATACAAAGAACTCAAAAAATTAGACAATAAGAGAACAAACAACCCAATCAACAAATGGGCCAAGGACCTGAACAGACACTTCACAGAGGAGGACATACAGTCAATCAACAAGTACATGAAAAAATGCTCAACATCTCTAGCTGTCAGAGAAATGCAAATCAAAACCACCCTAAGATACCATCTCACTCCAGTAAGATTGGCAGCCATTAGGAAGTCAAACAACAACAAGTGCTGGCGAGGATGTGGGGAAAAGGGTACACTTGTACATTGCTGGTGGGACTGCAGATTGGTGCAGCCAATTTGGAAAGCAGTATGGAGATTTCTTGGAAAGCTGGGAATGGAGCCACCATTTGACCCAGCTATTCCCCTTCTTGGTCTATTCCCTAAAGACCTAAAAAGAGCATGCTACAGGGACACTGCTACATCGATGTTCATAGCAGCACAGTTCACAATAGCAAGACTGTGGAACCAACCTAGATGCCCTTCAATAGACGAATGGATAAAAAAAATGTGGCATTTATACACAATGGAGTATTACTCTGCATTAAAAAATGACAAAATCATAGAATTTACAGGGAAATGGATGGCATTAGAGCAGATTATGCTAAGTGAAGCTAGCCAATCCCTAAAAAACAAATGCCAAATGTCTTCTTTGATATAAGGAAAGTAACTAAGAACAGAGTAGGGACGAAGAACAGGAGAAGAAGATTAACATTTAACAGGGATGAGAGGTGGGAGGGAAAGGGAGAGAGAAGGTAAATTGCACGGTAATGGAAGGAGACCCTCAGGGTTATACAGTGGAGGGGGTAGAGAGAGAGGAGGGGAGGGGAGGGGAGAGGTGGGGAGGGGGGAGGGTGGATGATGGGAAAGGCAGCGGAGCACAACAGACACTAGTATGGCAATTTGTAAATCAATGGATGTGTAACTGATGTGAATCCGCAATCTGTGTATGGGGTGAAGGTGGGAGTTCATAACCCACTAGAATCAAAGTGTGGAATATGATATGTCAAGAAATTTGTAATGTTTTGAACAACCCACAATAAAAAATTAAAAAAAAAAAAAAAAAAAAAAAGAAGATAAACACCTAGAGGTAGATGTGGATCAGGAGAACACTCTGGAGGCAGAACAGGTTTGAGAAAGGTGTGATCTCTTGGTGTTTTAATCAGAATCCTAAGCTTCCATGGAGGAAGTGAAGACATGGTCTTGCTGCCTGCAGGACCTTGCACAAAAGCAAGGCAAGGCTGGAAGGGCTAGTAGGGGTTCTCAGGAAAGCCTGTTTCCGTGGTGACCGTGACTATGATGGATTCTTCACACTGAGGCCCCATCTAACCCTGGACTCCATATTTAATCAATAAAGTAAAATGATATCTCAATACATCACAAGGCTACCATTTTTAATTGATTGTCCAATAAACCTGAACTTCTAGGAACTAGCAGGAACTAGAGGAAACTGAGGCCAGAACACCTATGTGCTGCACTTCTGCTCAGAAGGAGAGGAAGACACAAAGGTAGAACAAGCAGCCATGTCCCGGGATCTACACGCACCAGGCTTCTTCTCCTGCCCCTATTCACACACCCTCACACCTGGGATCCACCACACATCTGAGGCCTCCATACTCACAGCCTGCAGGACGGGGCTGACAAGGAAGGCTGGACCCAGCAGGAACTGATCATCTATGTCCCATGTCACACGGTCTGACACAAACCTGGGAAGGTAAGAAGATGTCACAGTCAGAGTCCCAGCCCAAGACCCCAAGGAACAACTCAAGTTCAGAGGCAAGTCTCCCCTCCAACTCCATCTTATGTCATCCTTAGTCTTTGCCTATATGGATCAGGAATACACAGACTTCAATATTCTACATGTCAAGTTACCTTGACATCACAAATGCTTCAGATATGTTTAGACACTTGAAAAATTCTCCACTGTTTCCAGATGGCACATTCAAACTGCAAGGAAGGCCCTCAATACTTTTTTTATGATGTCGACTCACTTGGCCTTAATTATTTCAATAGCTACACCACATACAGAGGTCTGTGCATGCACAAATTAGAAAAAAATCAGGCTGTGTTGCATCATTTCAAATATTTTTCATTCAATAAATAGCCTTTCTCAATAACACATAGTGTGAATAAAACAGAGTGCAAAGTGTGGACTCTGTGGTTTGGAGAGCTTATGACAAAATAAATCTTATCTTCATTGAGAAGAATTTTTTGCATCAACTGCCACCCTACAAAACTAAACTATGCATCAGTCCCTAGGACCCCAGCTGGACACTGACTCGTGCAGAAGAGGCCGCACCACAGTGCTGCCCTCCGTGTGGGCCTTGAACATCAAGGTGTACAGATATGGCAACAGGGTGTATCGGGTCTCCATCACACTCCTGGAAATATTCACAAAGGCAGCATCCCAGGACACAGGGTCTTGTCTCTAAGGAATAAAAGCAAAGGTGTTGAGAGCCCAACCCAGGGACCCTAGGGGGCAAAGAAGGTAAAGGAAAGCTTGATCCAAGTACATCACACACAGCTAAGATAAAGGTGATTACAAGTGACACTCTGAAATATACTGAATAGTCCGATAATAGTCAGTGAGGATCTTCCAGGAGACCTCATGGAACTTTCCCAGAAAAAACACTTCAGGGATATACTTGGAACAATCCTTCCTACACTTAAAGAATCCTCTGATAATCCTGTGCATTTTGGCAATTGTGAGGCGCTTTGATGGTTTTGAAAATCTCCCAGGAACAAAGATGGTCTGGACTGGGACTCCAAGGTGAAGGCTGCACAGCATGTGACGCAAAGCACGTGAGCAAGGAGGAAGGTCCTACCCTGGTGCCAATGGTGTTGTGGTTCCTGGAGAAGGGGTAAAAGGCTCCCAGCTGCATCCAGCGAGCACACATCTCATACTCAGCATCTTGAAAGAACCCACAGATATCTGCTCCCGTCTGAAACCAGAGGAAATGAAACCAGCCTGTGGGTGATTGCTCACGGGTGTCAGTGTCCTCTTAGGGATGAGGAGGAGCAAAGGTCACTTACATAGGAGATGCCAAAGAGGCTGAACTCCATCATGCCTGCAATGAGAACCACGGCTGTCAGGAGAGGCATGTGTGTGCCCCGCCCTCTCCTCCCTCCTTTCCCAAGGACACCAGCTCCCTTCCCTGCAGCAGAGGCCCCTGGGAAGAAGCCACACACCAATGATAGATTTCTTCAGCTGGTCCCATGTGGCAGTGTTGTCTCCCAGCCAATGTCCTCCCCAGCGGCCAGAGGAGGGGAATGTGGAGCGGGTGATGACGATCCCTCGCTGTCCAGTCACCTCCTGCACAGCTCTGTAGGAGGGGAATGTACAGGTGAATTGAGGACACAGCAAGAAGAATGGAATAGGGCTTCCCTTTCCATAAAAAGAACAGAGGACATGGTAACAAAATGTTGGTTACGTGAATGGCGGGAATATGGGAGACTGAGCAATGGAGAGGGTCCTACTGACCGATGGAGACAACACCACCTTCATGGTGTCGTAACAGGGATTTCACCATGTTTCAGACCCACTGGTTACCCAGAGAGTAAGAAATCACTGAATCCTGCCACTTATTTATTATCTCTTGGTTATCTGTATTTGAGGAATAGGAGAGAATATCACTATATGGGATTTTTCTTAGGATAATTTCTAATATTCATTGAGTTTAAAGGGTGTGGGCTACTTATTCCACAGAAGATCCATTTACTGTACATTAAAAATGGAAAAAATATGCTGACATAGAAGTTTTACTGTTGAAGAAAAGGTGAGATATGTACAGTCCTTATGTTCTCTTTACCTCACGTAACTAATGCGTTTAAAGAAGCAACTGCACTGTGTAATACTAACTCGTGCCATCACGTGAGTCTCCCCAAACAGAACTACTAGTTTCTCACTTATGGGACAGTATCGTATTGAAAGTTGACCTCCTACATATACTCACAGGGACTGGCCCCATGGTTAAGGAAAATTGGTTTCAAAAATAAAAATTGTGACAGTTACAATTAAATGTTCTTCAATCTTGCAATGGGATTGCTATGAAAAACTTAAAAGTTATGCCCAGCACTATGTGTCCCCACAGGCTGAGCCCACTGGAGAAGGAAAACAATGACTCACTCATATGTGGGTCTGGTCTGGGACCACCCGTACAGGCTGTGCACATCATAGTGTCGCACCCGGGAGCCATCTGGAAGGATCTGCTCACTCTCCATGCACAGGGTCTTGCTGCTTAGGCCCCGGTCCCTGGACTCCAGATCTGAGGGAAAAGATTTGGGAAGGTGAAAACCAGCCCTGAGCCTTTTAGTCCCTGACCTCTCCTTAAGGCATTTAACTACACATCTTAAGATTGACTTGACTTCACAATGGCCCCAACCATGGGATTGTAACTAAGAAAAGGGCTTTCTAGACAAATTCAGGAAACTTTCCCCCAAGAGATCCAGAAACTTGCACCAAAAAGTTTGGAAAAGGACTTGAAATGCTTTCGTTTCTGGCCCCCAATAAACCAGAAAACACAGAGGGCTCTGCTGGTCAGGATAAACCTCTGGTGCTGGGCTCAAACAATGATTATCTTCCATCTAGCCATGGAGAAGCCCAAGGGTCCTTACGTGGCATGTAGGGAGGACGGTTCAGACTGGCATCACTGCAGCCTGAAGGAACAGCCCCATTCACAAAGCTCGATGGTTCATTCATATCCTAGAAAAGTCAGACACAGACATTGCTTACTCTTAACTGAGAGACTTCTTGTCAATTGAGAGTCAAGGGTGTGGTGAATACATCATTCCCACCAGTACACCTGTAGATGCTTGCCCAGTCTGGCTCATCAAATCCAGATAAGAATTGGATAAAAAAATAATTGATCCCTAAAGGATGACTGACTAGAAGGTCAAAACAATACTCCCTGAGGCATTCTTGGCAATCTCCCTAGAGGTTCAACAGAATGAGTAACAAGCTACAAGGAATATCAGGATATTCCACACCTCAGTTCAGGAAATGCAGCATAATATATCCAAAGTCTGTCTTGGAAGTTTACTATCACCTTGACTAAAAGTCTGACATTCATATGGTAAATCACACCAAGTTAAACACACACACACACTTACAATCCACATGCCATCAAACTTCAAGCTCCTCTCTGGATTCTCTGGGTTGTTGTACAGTTCTGCAATTTCTCTCTTCCACCACAAGGCAGTTGAATTACGGAAAAAGTCTGGGAAGGCCACATAAGCTCGGTATTCCTATAAAAACATTTATAATTCACTATCCCAAATGAATATATCTTACAGAACCTAATTAATGAAAAGACTTGGACTACATTATGGCAGAGTGAAAATCTCAATAGAGCCTACCTTATGTTCTTGATAATTGAGAATACATTGAGGGCAATGAGGAGAATTATGGATGAATTTGACACATTTGAAAATGTCCATAATCTGTTTCCTTTTCATGCCATCATGAATGCTATCAATTGACACCCTCACTATCCCTGGCTTCAGTTCCCAACCTGCACTCTGTATCCTGCCTTTTCCTAAGCTCTCCCCTAAGACCCTATAGGGAACAAGGAACAACTGTAGCTGGAAAGGGCAGACACCACAGGCACTGTACCAGAGGAAAGGCAAACCAGGTGGCATGGCAATGTGTCATATCCACTGGCAACATGGGAGAGGGGAGAGATTACATTTCATGACATTAGACTGGCATTCATTAGTGTTCTGTGGCTTCAGAATCATGTGAGCATTGCAGTTTTTTGTAATATAATATGGAAGAATTTAAGGAGGAACCTCAATAAATGTTTCCTTTTCTGCTTCTTTCATCAAGCAGGAAAAGCAATGTCTTCAACTTAGCATGGAAAGTGGATTCACATATCGGTTCTTAAATAGATTGTAAGGGTTTTAGATCAAAGACTTTGTCTTACACACTTTTGATTGGTCTTTATGATTCCTACATGGCAGAGCTTAGAAACTGTCATAAGAATAAGGGAATGATAATAAATGTTCAGTGTTTAATTTGGGAAGAACATCACTCAGTAGCAGCAAATATGCATGAATGTCTATATATTCTATGTTGTTAGAAAATACTCTGATCCTTGGTGTATCTCAAAACAATTGAGCCTCCTCTGTGGTAAACTCTGCCTCATATGATGTAATGTGCTAAATAATGCTGGAGAATAGGAAGAATCCCCAAAGAGGACTTAGTATAGGCAAGCTCAAGTTTCTTGTATAATGCAAAATGGTGATTGGTATCCATATGTCTAGATAAAAGTCAAATGAGGAACACCAATAAGAAAACAGTAATGGATCATCATGCACAGGTCTGGTTCACAGACGACAGAAAGGGCAAGGGGCCATATCACTGAGAACTTTGGATTCCTTTGTTAGGAAATGGAAATAGAAAAGTATGGAAATAGACACAGAATCTTTCATCACAAACAGAGCTCCAGCTATGGCCATCTCAGAACCTATGGTATGTGTGGAGAGTGGGGATTAAAGAAATGAATCATGATCAGCTGTTTGAGAGACAGAACTGTATCTCCTCTAGGATACACGTGGTAAATCAGCCCAACCATGGTTTTCTAACTTTACTAAATGCTGCTGTATTGATCCTTACCCATGTAGTAAAAATTCCCTCCCCTTCGCCAAAGTGCTATCCAAATTCAACTCTTGCCATATCGCTTCTGTCCTAAAATTGTGATGTTCACATCTGCACAAAAGCCCTCAGAATTACTTATTACAATCCATTGCATGATACTGCAATTCAATTCCTAGATGCCACCACAAACTTACTGAATCAAACAGTGAGATTCAGACTCAGAAATCTGCTTTTCCACTACTTCATGGATGAACATTTACTTGCTTATTTGCTTACTTGCTTGCTTGTTTATATTACCCTCAGGAATTGCAGACCTGAGCATCAATAATCTCACTTTAATTCGTCTCAGCACATGGGTACTACTAATTTAATGGTTATAATTATTCTAAATACCAATAATCTCTTACAAGCTATCTAATATATTTTTGGTACCCAAATGAAGCATTTCTCATCAAAGGTACAATTTCACATTGGGGTCAAGAGAATTCTTTGTGAAGAATCCCCTGCTATTAGAGGTAAGAGCATCCCTAGTCACTGCCCACCAAATATCAAATGATGCTCCCACATCACTGAGATAACCAAACAGCCACACGGACTTCTGAATCCCCTCAATATGGCAGTCCCAAATGGCTGATGAACTGTGTTAATTCATGAACTCATAAGGTAATAGCCAATCCCTTCAATAATGAAAATGACCTTCTTCTAAGCAAATCGAACTTGTGTGTCAGATTGGCTACGGCATGATTTGATTCTATGTCCGCATGGGCCGGCTGGATCACTAAACCTCAAACAATCCTCGGTAAGAAATGAAAAAACAAGTACTGAGGTTTTCTTTCTTATTTCCTTATTAGCTAGAAAGTAGATACATACACAAATAATAGATGAAAAATTAATACTTAAGTGAATATATAGGAAGGAGAACAAGGGAGAAAGAGAAAGAGTGAAAGGGTGAGAGACAGATAGATAATGATTCAGTACTAGTCAAAAGAAAAACATAATCTTGAATTGATTTTGATTCACTACTACCAATCTGCCCCGGTGAGATTCTATTTCTTTTACTTTATCTATGTACTGCAAAAATTAAGAATACAGAATATAACTGCCAGATAATCTGAACAAAAATATGGGTAACTCATTTTGATTCTAGAGTGCTACTGTTACCACCTGGGAATCAGAAAGTCACAGACCAACTAGTACTATTCTCCCTCCTGTGTCCTAGACCTGAGCCTTTGGTCCCCAGACTGTCCCAGTCCAAATATCAGTCTTTACCTCTAAAAAAGACCACTGGCCACTAAAATTAACTAGTCTGGATAAGGCATGAACATGTGGCCTAACTGTGCCAGTTCCATCCCTTACTAATGTCTTTCTCTTATCCCTCCATCCACTGACTAGGATCCTCCAGTATAGGAAATGTCCCCTAAGCAGAGCCTTCACCCCTGAGATCCTATAGAAGCTAATAGCAAAATTTATAGATACTGTACATTGTTCCCACAACACTATTTTTTTCTGATTAATCCTTGACCTTGAGAGTTTCAAGACATACTACTTATGCTACCTTGATGACCATGTGCAAACCATACTCTATGGCCCCTTGATCCTTGGTAGGTATCCTTGGAACTACTTTCTTTGACTTCTCAGTACTTTTATCAATATTCATAAGCTTCACATGTTCTACTATAATTTCTGTCCAGAAAGAATAATCATTGCTGAAGAGTGGATAAAGAAGTACCAGAAAAATATTGGTTCTTCTGAAGAGGCCAGATACCACCCTGACAGCCCTGCTCAAAAGTATTAGAGAGCAACTGATGACAAAGCAGACAGGCTGCATCAGTTCCCTTGGTACACTTCTTGGCCAGAACATCTGGCTGAAGTCATCATGGACCAGTGTGGAACCATGTATTCTTTCAAGCAACAAATACTTAGTAAAGCTAGAAAGAAACCTGGGTCAAGCAGCATGGGACAACTTCATTGCAATCAAAAACCTGTTCCCAAGAGTAAATTTTTAATCAATACTGGAACCTGAGAAGTAAAAGTGAAGCTGGGAGACCCAATCACTAAAGACAAAGGTTAGAGATACTAGTTAAAAGGAATACTCAAGGCAACAACAATAAGACACAGACTCATTCTAAGAAAAGATTGGTCTTCCTTGAAAGTTTCATACATTGGAAACTCAATAGGCCTATGAAATCAGGTGGCTTTGAATTTTAAATAACCATTGTGTCTCCTAAAACCATGAACAAGTAATTTCACTTCTTTGTCAATTAAATCCCATAGATAATAATACCTACCTCCCAATTACACATTAAACAAAACTGCATTTAAAGTAATTCACACAAAGCCTGACACACAGCACACCGTTCCTAGGAGCTTTTCCCTTGTTTTGCCAAAGTCTTTGGCAGGGAATATTTAGGATAGTGGGTATGGTTTCCATTCCTAACAACCTGGCCTTCACCCAACATCCACAAAGGGCTCTTTACCTCCACTTGACTGTCCCAGTCTAGAGAGCTGTTAACAACAATATCAGGGTAATCAGGCCACACCTGCAGAGAGAAAAATATTTAACAGCAATGCACTTGGCAGTTTACCTAAGAAGGAATTCCTAAGACTGTCAACCACAGCCGTAGAGGGTAATAATACTTTTGATTATCATGTAGGGTTTATCAATATAAAAGTGAAATCCACAAAGTCCTCAATATATCAATAAATACTAACCAAGAAATGAAAACTAATGACTTCAGCATCCACAAGAAAAGGGTAAAACACACACAAACACACAAACTATGGCCCTCTCCCATGATGGAGACTAGTAGTCACCACTTAGATCATACCTTTCCCCAGACAATGCCTCCACCATTTGGATATTTGATGAAGACATCATCCTCCACTCCCCGAGTGAAGGCAGGATAGGGCTGTGTCTCATTGCCAGAAATGGCTGGGTCCTGCAAGCAAAGCACAAGTCAGTCGGCAAAGCAAAGAGAGAGATTGACAAGGGACAGAGAAAAAGAACTTCTTCATTGGGAGGTCCCTAGCTTCCACCTGCCCTCTAGAGTTTCTGGGAATCTCTGGAAATATACTCTTCTTATTGTACTTGGAGTTCTCTGTTCTTCATATGGATAGAGGGACAAGAAAAGTGGTTCTCCACAAAGCCCAGTCCTCCTCCCAACACACTCCATCCACACAGGCACAAAAGGACTCACCAGGATGAGGATGACCCGCATCCCATCAGCCCTCATGCGATTGATCAGGGCTGGAAACCCAGCAAACTTGGGGCTGAGGGTAAAGTCCAGCTGCCGCTCCATGTAGTCAATGTCTGAGTACTGCACATCCTGGGGGAGGACACAAGGAAACAGTGGCTGCTGGTGCTGAAAGTCCAGCTCCCAGAGGAGAAACACTCTCCCCTCCTGATGGTGAATTGAAATGGCTTCCTGTTGACTCTTGCCAATCCTAGCTCTTTCAGTATGGAAACTAGAAAATTCATCTAATTTTTCAAACTTTTACTCAAAATAGAGATATAATATAAATCAGTAAAAATAGGATGATAGAGCCTCTATATCACGGCTATTGTGAGAATATAATAGGGAAATTACTTTGTCAATAGCTATTATAAGGTTTGATTGCATTCCCACCCCCAGTGTTGCCCCTGATAAAAACAGTTTATATTAAGAAGAAAAAAAAAGTTAGCTACTCAGTTGTAATACAATCTGGATGGTAAGTTGGCTTCAAAACTTAAAAAAAGAAAAACAAATTCTCATAATTACTGTCGGCATGCAATCTCAGAGGTAATTAGAAATAGCTGTCTTATAAGAATATGGTACATTGCATGATGTATTTCCCATTAATGGAACAATTGCAAATAATTGAACAATGAGTAGAATAAAATTCAATTTGAAACGGCTCTGCAGGATCAGTTATAAGTATTCAATCCGGCTTCTCCTCAAATGGATGATAAGAATTTATTACCATGTGTATTTCCTTTGGAAACATATCTAGAAGCCCTACATTCAGCCAGTGAGTAGCTCAGCACTGATAAAATAATGTTTGTAGTACAAAAATTTGGGGATTCATCAATACATAATCATTGAATTGGGACTAATTTTATTTAATTACCACTACTATTCTTGAGGGAAATTTAATCTCATGGTGCCAAGGACTTTTAGAAAAATGTCTAAAAATAAATAAAAGAAATGGAATCATACTAGAGTTGAAAAGTTCTGGACCCTGCCCTATCTTCTTACTCTGAGTCACTGAGTCTACACTGCTATTATATGGAAGCTAGGCCCCTCCTGAATTACTGTCAGGATGGAACTCAAAGTGTCATCAAGTCAGAAAAAAACTTTTGTGCTTTTGCTGAACCCCACAAAAACCCAACAAATAAATCCAGACACAGAGAAGCCTGAGTTGGCTATGAGCTCATAGAGCCAGTGCACCAATACTGAGACATACATAGGGGATCTGGGCAGCCACCATCTCATCATACAAGCTGGAAATCTCAGAATCATTCTCATATCCATAGCGACACAGCTGGAACCCCAGGGACCAGTACGGTACCATCACAGGTCGGCCAATCACCTAGAATATGGACAGAAATATTATTCCTTACAGGAATGACTCAAATGAAGTTGTACAACAAATAATAAGAATATTTTTCTAGTGCCCCAAGATAGACAATCAACATATTCAAATCCAGAGAACTCAGCAGATATAAAATTACTAGGATACCTTGAGAAAGCTTCTTTCTAGACTAAAGTTCATTCTCTTGGAATTCTGTACAGTCTAAATTCACTCTCATTCCTAGAGGTGGTCTAGGTTATTGCTGAAGAGAACAGATCCCAGAGGGAAAGTGCCTGGTTAATACACAGGCTCATGTCCTCCTGGTTCTGTGACCTTGAACAAAATTAAGTAATCTCTTCATGTTTCAATTCTTCACTGGTAAACTAAACATAAATGTAATGTCTGCCCCACGCTGTTTTGATGAGGACTTAATGACTTAATACATTTAAATGGTCTGACATGCAGTAAGAGTGACAGAATCTGTTTTTATTATCACAAAAATTACAACTGTCTTCAACAGTCCCAAATATTACCTCCATTACCACCACATCAGTCCCCCATCTTCACTATCATCACCCCATCACTATCACCCACACAATCCCCAGAATTTTCACCCCATCATCTTCCCTATCACCACACAATCACCATCATCAACATACCCAACATGCTCATAACTACCATCCCCACCACTTTAACCAACAGCAGATGACCATTACCACTGTTAACATCTCTATCACCACCACTCGTACCTCGAATACTCCCACCATTACCCTTACCATCATTAGTACCTTAAGCACCACTACTACAATCCTCACACATAGGTCATTTCACCACCTCAGCATTCCACAACCATTCTTACCATTACCACTACCACAACTCTCAGCACTACGATCTTATCCTCCCCATCACCACTTCACACCACTAGGCTCAGCATTACTTCAGGTGCAGTGTCTACTTTACCTAATGTGGAATAATTAGGCTCTAATTTAATGATTATTGGAAGGTACTTATAGCTTCTTATTATATAATATGCCTGGTTCTAAGAAAAACCTTCAATTCTACTTGTCAGAGTGAGTATTTGGGAACATGGAATGTGCCATATAAATGCTTGATAATCAGTAGAATTTCAACCTACCTCTGTGTACTGTTGAGTGACAAGTTCTGGAGTTGGCCCCAAGAACACATAAAAATCCAGAATTCCCCCTGTGGTACGGTATGTCAGAGCAGGTGTGGGCTGGAAAGTCACATCTGAAAAAATAGGAAAGTGACAAATGAAAACTAAGCTAGAAACCTACAAGACAAGGAACAATCTGTGAAATCCCTAATTTCATTCTCTTGCACTCTAATCTATTAACAGCACACATTCTGTACTGCATCCAAATGAAATTAAACAGTTCAGTGAAAGTCTACAGAGTCCCACCCCAGGAAGTTTTCCCTTTGGTATGCCTCATTATCTCATTATAAATATCATTCTGCTATTTTAAAACTATTGATAACACTTCTACTTCAGAATAGTTTAATAGACACATGGAATGGTAAAAAGACTATTCTGTATGCACCTCACCCAATATCCACCAATGATAATATCTAATAAAACCTTGTACAAAATCAAACAAGGAAAATGACATGATATAATCTTATTAACCCCAGCATGGAACTTTTTCAGAGTACACCAGTTTTAATGTAGACATTTTATCCCAGGCCTGAATTTTCAACCCTATCTTATATACAGAATAAATTAATATCTTCATACTTAAAGATGTGAGTGCTGTCACTTAATTCATCATGAGTACCATCTATGCAGATACTTCCAACTTAATAACCTCTAGGACTCCTGGGACTAACGTGGACTTCCTACCCTTCATATGGAATTTCTGCCAAAATAGAATTATATTAAATATTGTTATCTCATGCTACAAGGCTGAAGTCAACAGAATGGAAAGAAGAAAAACAGCCACTGTCCTCTAAATAATTTTGACATTGGAAAGCTGCTAGGTCAAGGACATTCTACAGTTTCACAGGATGACTGACTGGGAGACAACAATAGAAGGAGCGCTGGCACCATCCTACCCATGGCATTGCTGTTCAGCAGGAGAACTCCGTGGGCACTGCCGTCCTCCTCTAGTCCCATGTAGTAGGGGTGGACGCCATAGGAATTCTTCTTGTACTGAGTGTCAAAGGGGAGAAATCAAAGGAGGTTAAAAGTCATTGTACATGAGAAACAATCAAAGAAAAATTTGTTTACTGAGATGGATTTGGTCTTCCCTCTAAAAGGAGTAAACCACATAAGAAGCATAAATGAAAATTATCCTATAGTCTAAGAGCAGAAAAAGAAAATCTGAGTCTGGGATCATGTAGCACAAGGTGACCATGATGTATGTGGGAGGAAAGAGGCAGAGAGGCACATATCCACAGGGCTCCTTGCTTACCCCGGGGGGTTCATCTCTGGAAAACATGCCCCACGTGTGCCAGTTCAAGTCTCTCCTGAAGGCTGTGTGCTCATTTTCCCCAAAGCCATAGATGTACTTGGAGGGCAGGCGGGTGGAGATGCGGAGGAACATGTCATTGAAGGTGAAGCCAAAGAGCTGAGAGTCCCAACTGCAACACACACACAAAGGGTACATTCAGAAAAGAAAATTATCTTGCCTATTGCCTTCCAAATGGTGACTTTTTAAGGACAACAGAAGCTTTGATTCTCACCACAACCCAGAACCCAACATCTCCCAAACACACCACAAAGTCTTTTTGATGACAATAATCACAGATATCCCCACTATGAACTTGGGAGTTTTCCTTCATATTCTATTTCTCAATTACATGGCCTGTTTTCAGTGTTCCCTCCACAAAACCAAATTCAATCCATCTCACCATCTCAGCTGCTAACACTCCACACAAGCCTTCCTTCAGCTCTTTCCCTTGAATAGTCCATTCCCTACAGCTTTCCAGACGGATATGTTTAAGTATCTCTCGTCATGTCACTCCCTGGTGACCCTCTTCCATGGCTTCTCATGGAAACACCTCATGAAGCCTTCCAGGCTGCACCTGATCTAAGCCTTCCTGACACCCCAGCTTCATCTCCCACCACTCACCTCCTTGCTCGCTTCCTTGATTTTGTTCTATTCCTTGACATGCCAAGTGTCATCCTATATCTTGACCTATGTTCTTGCTCTATCACAAATGCTTTTCCCTACTCCAAAGGCCCCATATAGGGGTTTCCTTCTCTCCATCCAGAATCAACTTCAAAAGTTAACCCTTCAATATCAAAAGCAATAACCTACCATAACTCTTGATTACCTGTTCACCTGTTCGTTTACTTAATTATCAACATCAACTTCCTTATAATATTGTCATTTAAATTATTGTTACAGTGGTGAGATCAGAGGAATTATCCATCTATGAATATAGTACCTAAAACAATACCTAATATAGTGAAATAACCCATAAACACTGAATGGATGAATTCCCCAAACATGCAACAGATTCAGCCATCATTCCAGATTGCCAAACACCTTCCCATAAGAACACAGCTGAAGGAAATAGCTTACTCATGGATCTGGAAATGGACAGAAGAGGCCTGAGCCAGTAACCAATCAGGACAATAGGCCAGACAAGAAATGTACAGTTACATGGAAATTCCAAATTAGAAAAGAGCCACGTACATTACAGTGCCTGTACTCTTACGGCGAATTTCTATTCCAAATGGATTCTCCTTAATGAGGACATCATAGAGTCGACTCTCTGGGGTGCTGGATGGACTCCTTGTTATGTTCAAGGGGACTGGGACTTCATAACGACTCTTGCTGGGGTCATAAATCTAGAGCAGAAGAAACTGACTTTAAATAAGAATATAGATACAGGGAATAAGTTCTGGATTACAATTAAACACAGTTTAATTACATTGATGATACCCTAAGTGCATGTATGAAAACATGGATGGTATTAATATACATTGTATACAAACAGAGATATGAAATATTATGCTGTATATGTGTAATGTGCATTATTCTGCATTTTGCTGTCACATATAACAAATTAGAATAAAAAAGAAAAAAATGCTTAAAAGAGATAATGTTTAATTTTATCATCATTAATGAGATGCTTTCTAAATGGATAATCTGATTATTTTGAGTTAATCACACCATAATGAGAATTTTACCAAACAACATATACATTGAGTAAATGGAAAATTATTGTCTGTCAAAAATAATTTAGGCATGAATAATACTCTAAATCTACACCCTTAGAAGAATGTGAACATCATTGGCAATGAATCTAAATGGCATATATTTGCATTCTTTAAGCTCATGATATGTGGGATTTAAGTGACATATCAAAGAACAACATCAGATTTAATATTTTTATCTAAATCCATTATATTTTATTATTAAGGCTTCAAGTACAGTATCAATTCCCTTGACTCTTTGTGCTAACTTGTAACTTCATTGTGAAATGAGCGTGGTTTATAACTGTATCCTTTATTATTTTGTGTTTGTATAGTAATGTATATAAATATCTAAAAGTATTCAATATTGAAAATTATTTCATTCACAATATGAACTTGGATTAAAATAATTAGAGATATCCTTGCTAAAAATGATAGATTAAACATTTCATGAGTATCTCACAAATGCCTGCAAAATATATAAAGGCAACTTTGGATATGAACTTAATTACAAAAGGCTATGGTTTTAAGAATTTCTCTTGCTAATGGATAGTTAAAGAGAAGGATTCATGACACTTTGGTAATGTGAGTAAATGTACAACTCTAGAAATTCTGAGAGTACAGCAAGGAGATGCCTAACAATGTTTCTGGGTCATTGAAGTAGTTCCATGGGAGAATTACAGCCTGAGTCATAAACTTTGAAGCTATAAGCAAGCACAAGAAATGAGATCAATCATTTTTGTAAAGCAACAGCAAAAACAAAGGCACAGAGTATTAAAGGCATCTCAGAAAGATGCAAGTGTTTCGGAGAGAGAAACTGTATGGAAAGTGGTGGACGAGCTGAAAGCAAGTTCTTCAATTTTGAGCCTTTATGGGCCCACAACCAAATATCAATGCTATAGTGAGGACACTAAAAACAAGAACAAACACAGAAAATAACAACAAAGAAAACAGACATCATTCCTTACATTAGCACATGTTACAGATCTGAGAGTCCAAGTTGATGTCGCACAGGTGAACAAGTACTATACATGAGCCTCTGTGTTACGTTTCAGAAGCACAAAGAGGAAAGACACATTCTGGCCACAGAAAAGCTGACAGTTTACAAGGGAAATAGACACAAAAACAGCTGGTCCACACGTAGGCTTTAGATGTAATTGAACAATATAAGGAAAAGAAATTATTGCATTTCAATGGCTATTTAAGAGACCTCAATTTCAGTGTTCAAAATCAAACTCTTACACTGAAAACATACAAACCTATTCAGAACTTCCTCATTTCAGGTAATGTCACCATTGTCAACACAGACATGACAAAAATATGGTATTCATTTTTCAAGTCTCCCTCTCCCTTATCTACATTTACCATAAAGTCACCAGATAATGTAAACCCTACCATCTTAGTCTAAAATATCCACTTTTCCCCATCTCTTTTCCTATAGTCATCCAATCTCAAACCCCACTGGAACACATATTTGAGAACATCTTAACTTGTCTCTCTCTGTTTTGTTCTCCAAAAACCTCCTTAGAGTAGCCACAAAACATCTTCAAATTGCAAATTAGAACAGCTCTCACTGGCAATGAATTCTCACTATGCTTTGAAATAGGATAGTAATCTAGTGCCCTATAAATTGAACCTTAAAAGAATTTCACATTTTAGAGTTCTATAACCTAACTTGAAAATATAATGTCACTAAAAAGGGCCTACTCAGTACCTGACACAAGTACCATGTTTACCTTAAATTGCAGCATTTCATCCTTATGGTAGGTCACCTGCAGGTGGAGGGGATTCACAGGTGTGGAGGGGAAGGTGTTGGCATAAACAGAAGGCTTTAAGGAGATGTCAGCCGTGGCCCCATGGGAGTTGTACTGGACATTGCTCACAGAGTACAGATCATTGACAAAATAACAATGAGGGACTCCAACAGAACTGGATTCCTGGAAAGGAAAGTTGAGATTGTAGATCAACAGGTGGTCCTAGAATTGTCAAATAGAAATAATCAGAGAAGGCAATCTGTATGAGATGGAGCCAACACATCATTCTTTCATGTACATATAATAAGATATTGACAAAAAGTAAATTTCTAGACACAAAGCAAAATACTTATTAAAAATACACCATTTCAATCCATACTTAATCTTCAAGACCAGGTTCCTTGGAAGCCCTGTTTCTATGGAATTGAAGTAGGCACCTGGGTACTAGGGCTATGCTCAAGAAATTGCTGCCTAAGGTTAAAGATCTGGGTGTCCATCAACACCTCAGTGAGGTTACCTCCCAGGCACAGCCTCGGGCAATGCAGTTTGCTTCAGAAGCACCATGCTCATCAGGGTAGCAGTCTATTTTTTCTTCATCTCTGATGATTGTGTTCCACTCCACTGTGTATTCCTCTCCCAGCACAAGACTGATCTCTGTGATGATGGCAACCTGAAGGAGTGGAAAACAAAGGAAAAATTCCTTTGCTGGACAAAGGCCTGGCAATGTCTAAGTATTTTTAATTACACATGTAGGCATCAGACCAGACTCTCAGCAATCTAAGTGTCATTTGATTGTAGTTGCTATGAAGGAGCTATACATATGGAAGAGGAAATATTCAGTAGCAATATGGCAAATGTCACAACTCTATCAAAATCTTGAGCATTATATTGTGGAAAGAATGAGATCAAATAAAACCTGCTGTGATCACCCTTTTCCTTTCCTTTCCTGAGTCCTTCACCTCTTCATTTTGTCAATGAATTTCTTGCTAATCTGACATTAAGTTTACCTTCTTGCCATCCAGTCGCCAAACCAATATCTCCCACTGGACTATAGTGGTGCTAAGAACAGAGGAATAGAATCATTTGTCTATGTCCTCATTTCATTTTCTCTTTGGAATCACAGACAGTTATTTCAATTCTTTGGGCCTCAGTTTTAAAAACTGCAAAACTGGTGAGTTGGAAAAATCTTTGCATATTCTTCCATTTCTAACATCTAAGGGTCTTCAGTTCTCTACACCCAGATACTCAAAACTTGAAAGCTTTTAGGAGACCACCTGTCATGCCAAAATTTAATGTTTTTCTGTGTGTTTTTCTCATCTTTGGCATGTCTTTAAACAGCAATTTGCATATTTAACATTCTCATTTGTTGAAGCAATAAGACCTCATTTTAAGGATCATCAACTTTTTCCCTGTTTCTCTGCTTATGTCTTGCACCTGTCTTTCCTACAAAGATCACCCTACCCCCACCTCCAACAAGACCATGTTTCAAAGATCATTGAGATTGTGTTAGAATCAATCAAGTGTGACTGTCTTGATTTGGCACCACACATCCTCCAAAGTGTGACCACTAGTTTCGTCATGTTCAGAGCAATGTTCTTGCAAAGAGAATCCAACTTAAGGTGGGTACCCGAGATTTATGGACTGACAATGCAGGACTATTCTCAGTCTGAGTTGGCTTATTCTGCTCTCTCAACTTGGAGTGATTTCCCATAAAAATGCCCCTTCAGGAAGACATAATTCATTGCTTTCTTCCTTGCTCTTTCCCAAATTTTAGTAAACAAAATTCCTCAAAATAGCTCCCTTTTTGACTATGTAGTATAGCTATGACCATGAAAATGTGAGTACTAGTTCCTGGAGAGTTTCTGGCCAGGTATTTATTTCTAGATTTAAGAGTATTTTCTATCCTATCCCTATACCTCTTCCATCTGTCTCCCTACACACTCTTTCCTCTCTCTCTTCCTATAATGTCCTACAACCAGTGCATGCTGACAGAAACTAAGCAGCCACTTCCTATCACAAGAGAAGAAAAGACCTCAATCACAACAACATTGAGCCATTGAACCATGCCTGCCTGTAAACTACTATGTCTATTACTAGTGTCTACTTCTATACAATGACTTGCAGAAAGAAAAAATAAAAAAGTCCAGCTTGGTACCATTTGGGGCTTCCTTTCCCTTGTAGCTGATGAAGCCAGACCTGACATGCCACTTTCTAGGCCCAGCACCAGACCTGTTATCTGAACAAAGCTCAGCTCAACTGCTCCACTAAACTTTAAATATCAATTAAATCATGAGCGAACCATTTCCTATATGTTGATTTGGCCCTGGGTGTCTTCCCAATTGTTCATGTGTATAAATCATGACACCTCACTACCCACATTCAAACAATAAAGGAGTTCCTCAGGTCTTATTAATTAACTTATTAATCAAATATGAATTGAGCTTGTTTTCCCACATGAATCCTTCATATACCTTGCACTTTGCCATATACATAACCCGCCATACAGAAATTTATTCCTAACTTCATAATATGTATGTCCTCAAATGTGCTTTCAGAACAAAAAGTCTACTGCCATGATAGTACAGGACTAAACTGACGTATTTTCCCCAAATTTGGAAGGTCTCTCATGAATCATGTTAACCCAGAAGCTACAATGCCAGGTACTGTGGTCAGGACCATTGGAAGAAAGGATTTCTCATAAGACTCAGCATCAGAGTGAATGATGATAGGCTATTCAGGATGGCCATGTCTCCTCACAATCATTGAGAAATCATTTATTATTACTATCTAACCAAATAGGTACCCATCAAGTGGAATCACCAATTCTTAGTCCTAAACTGGTTTTTTAGAATATATGTGTTGGAGATAACTTCTACTCATCTCTTTAAAGTTTTCAAAAAGTGGGAACTTCAGTATTTGAATTCATGGGACTCCTTCCTCCCAACTTTACCTTTCAGCATCAGCCATCAGCTTCCAGATCCCTTTTCTTCTTACCTGTTCCACACTTTCCTAACTCTGCTCTCTTATGTATCCTGTAACTAAAATGTTGAAAGTGAAGCCAGTGAGACAGAGGAGAACTCTGAGAGGCTGGGGAAAGAAGGATCATCATCCCTGGTGAGCAGGACCTCCCTGTCTTACTAGCTCTGCCCATCACCTCTTCACCACTTCCATTCCCAGGCCCCTGACTTCCCCACCACAGGCATCCACACAACCTCAGGAAGCAGGAAAACCAAGGTGCTATGAATAATTCTGGAAAAACAACCTCAATACATGGATTTTTACCTTCAGCTGAGCATCATATGTGACCTTGGGAGCAGTCTGACTCAGGACACCATTGTGTTTCACTGTAACGTTCCTGGGTTCCTGTGTCCCAAAGATTTTAATCTGCTGAAATGCTAAATTATTGGGATCCTTGTAGGTTGCTTGTGAAATCTTCACATCCAGGCGGTTCTGAAAGTCAAAATAGCACAATGAAGCCCAAAGCTGTGCCTCTAAAACATAGATTCTCCAGCCACTCAAATGCTCCATCCTAGCCAGAAGCTCCCCACTGCTCTGAATACCTCTTAGCTGTCCCAACTAACAAATGCTGTGTGTATAAACTTACTTTTATAATACTCTTAGAAAACAAAAACAATCAGGAACAGACACACACACTCATTTTAGAAAATCACATTGAGTTTAAAAAAAAAAAGCACACTGACCAACTGCTTTGATGCATCAATATTATTGCCTACTTTTGATAAGATGGATGATACATTATTGGGACTGAAGTCTTATATGGCATTGTGTTGTTTACCTGTAGCCATTATTGTTATCATTTACTTATTTTTATGAAGATAGAATCATAATTACACACACACACAAGCACATATGAGCCTATGGTAGACAAAATCTCATACCTAAGATTTATAAAAATGTGCTACTCACTTGGGTGGCAGAAAACTCACAGAAAAGGTAAACTTTATTGGCCACAGTATCTGAAAGCAGAAGAAAGACGAGTCAGAATGGCCTGCCCACCACACAAGAACAATTTCCATCTACCTCTTCTTAAAGCTCATTCTGCAGACCATAGGGGCAGGATTTCCTTCCTTTCATGATGCAGTACGATCCCACAATATATATTCATTCATCTACATGTGATCACAGGTGTTTCTATATCTTAGCTCTTATGAACAATGCTGCAATTAACATGGGGGTGCACACATCTTTTGACAAGCCAATTTCATTTTATTAGATATATACTCAGAAGTGGGATTGCTGGATCATAGGATAGTTCTGTTTTCAATACTTTGCGGAACTTCTATATTGCATCCCAAAATTCCTGTACCAGTTTGCACTTTAAACAGTTTTGTTCCACTTTCTCCTCATGATCATCCACACTTGCTATGTCCTCTTTTTCACAGTAAGCATCCTAACAGGTATGAAAAGATATCTCAATGTAATTTCTCTGCTGCTAGTGAATTTAAGGACCTTTACATATATGTCTTAGTCAATTTTATGTTTTCTTTGGAAAAAATTTCTATTCAAATCCTATGTCCAATTTTAAAATCTGGTTATTTATTCACTTGCTATTGAAACATAATTTTCCTGATGTATTTTTGTGTTAAGACACTTAGCAGATATGTGGTTTGCTCATATTTTCTCCATCTGTGGGCTCCCTTTTCATACTGTTGATTGTCAAGTTGAGCAGAAGATTTCTAGCTTGATATAGTCCCACTGGTTTATTTTTTTACTTTTCTTATCTATACTAGTTTTGGTGTCAACTCCAATTAAATACTTCCAAGACCACTGTATAATAACCTATTCCCTATTTTTTTTCTCCAAGGAATTATGCCTTTAGCCCTTAACTTTAAGTTTTTAATATAGTTTTCACAATAACTGAGATATAGAAATAACCAAATGGTCAACCTACAGAACAATGGAGAAAAAATTGTGGTAATACATAAAAGGAATATTATTTAGCCTTAAAAATAAGAAAATCTTGTCATTTCTGACAATATGGGTGAAGCAGGAGTACTCCATACTAAGAGACACAAGCTACACAAAGCAAAGAAAGAAAATACTATATGATCTCATTTACATGTATCATCTACAAAAGTTGAATTTGTTCAAGCAGAGACTAGAACAGAGGTTGAAAGTATGGGGATAGGAAGTACTTGTGATGTGTTGGTTCAAATGTACAAACATTCAACTACAAGAAGACAAGTTCTGGTGAGCTAATATACAGATGGCTGGTGATAGATGTTAATTTATTTCACTGGTAATCATTATAAACAGTACCTGAGTATATGGTTTACATTGAAGATTTTCCATCTTTCCATATCAGTGAAACATTTAAATAAAATAAATTGGATAATATTTAAAAAGCTACACCTTGACATTAAGGAAATTATAAATAGACTCTCAAAGAAGCTATGGATCTTCCCTCTCTTTCCAATAGTAACATTGAGGAGATTTCCTTCCAAGAGTTTAGGAATATGCATTAAGGGAATCTATTTCCTAAGAAGGACTTCAACAATGTTACTAACTGGTGCCAGAAACATGTTGCAAAACATACTTAGATGCAGATATACTCCAAAAGTACATTCTCCTGGCCTTCCTGATATGTCCTTGACATTTGTTGCTAAGTATTTGGGGGAAAGACATTTTCATTACAGATGAATTATTGGAAAATTCTTGACTATATGTCATCCAGGTGTCCATAGAATAATAAAATGAGACCTATTATAGATCACTGACCAATGGCACACTGCTGAGAAACAGAAACCTGTTGTCCTCACATTGGTGGTTATTTGATACATCTCAAGTAGCACAATCAGAAACAAACTCTTCTCTCTAGTGACTTTTGCTACTGTGCCTGGATTATTTCTCCTCCAGCTGCATGACCAGCAAGAGTGAGGGGCCATAACACACAGGCGTAGGAGGGCAAGCAACACTTTCTCATAACAGACTCACCTATCGATGCCCCATCATCCCAGAAAAGTTCTCCTGATGCTTCATTGTTCTCATCCAGGGCAATGATGAGACCAAGGGGGTTCTGCCGACTGTGGGAAACAGGAGTTACATAACACAGAAAGGTCAGGACTGAAAGCAATTTGTCAAATGCTTCCTTCATATTTCAAAGTTACTTGGAAAAGATGGTTCTCCTAATTTCAGGAACAAAGGACAAATTAGAAGGTGTTACTTTCTCTAGACTAAATAATGTCACATGAGATAGAAATACCCCAACCATTATCACTAAATGTTTATGTAGGAGGCAATAACTTAAGCATCAGAATCACTGCAATAAGGACAATGAAAGCAATGTTTAAAACCACTATTTATAATGCAGACTATTGGCAGAGAAGGAAACCTTATACAAATATATGCAGCCTACCAAAGGACCAGTTTCACTCAGGAAGCAAAAACACACCAAATGGCCCATTTACATAATGCCACTTCCCTTACTTGGTAACTTACTATTATTTGTGTTAGAGAAAAACAAAGCTTTCTAATTTTCTGCCTTAAAATGTGGAACAGGAGCACAAAACAATGCTCAAAGAGATGGTCCAAGTACTGCAAAAAGAGAATAGGAAGGTAGGAGGAGCCATTTCATTAGGGATCTCCTCATGGCCTCAGGCCTCTGGATTCCCAGCTGATCTCTGGCTCCTGTGCGCCCTCCCTGGCCTTAGGTGCCCTAGTGTGTTGTTTCCTACTTCAGCCTCCACTGCACAAGTCAGGCTCTGTGATAACACACTAGCTTGCTGTCACTCTCAGTGCTTATGTTGATCTGTCGCTACTAAGAAGTTCAAGACACAAAAATTCAAATAAATCGAAAATCATGATCTAATTCACCTTCATTGTAAGAGAGATCAGACACTATCTCCAAAAAAACAAAGCAGAAAATGAACAGTGACACAAAAGGAAGCACTCCAAAATGATACTTCCAGAACGATGGTGGAATAGACATTCTAGAGTACCTATCCAATGGAATACTACTTGATCTTAGATACTTTGCAAAAGAAGTATAATAAAATATTCTTGGGTTTAAAGACAATAAGTACACATCTAAGTGAATGAAAAAACAACAGGGGTAAAAAACAATGGGCTATATTCACAAGGGTGTGCAAGAAGTCAAACCTGGAATTTCCTGGGGCCAATGCCTAATAGGCCTAACATTGGAACCCTAAAACTGGTAACTTAAGGAAAAGAGGCTGAACCTCCAATTCACAAGTGAAACCAGGATCTTTAAAGGACCTAACATGACACCAAGTTGGCAGTAGTCCAACTGGCATGTACCCAAAGATAAGGTAATTTGCTTTTGGAGGAGACATACATCTATCTGGGTCCTCAAGGTCACCACATATGAAAAACAAAATATCACTGAACACACAAGGTATTAAGTGAGCACTAAAGAGTCTGCAGAAATAACAAAGCATAGATTTACATTCCACTAAGGGCTTCGGCAAGGAAAATTTTTAGATAGAACATGAAATAACTATCGTTGAAATATTTAACAATATTTAGGAGAAAAGAGATATCTGTAAAGGTTAGAAGTTAGACAATGTTCAGAAATTCAGAAGGGGCACCACTCCCTCTGCTGGAAGAGCAGGGAGGATTTTTTGTGTATGAAATCTGAGATTACTCTGGATCTTCAAGAATCCACTAGGGCTGGACATGAATATTTAAAACTATTTTGTGAGATTCTGGTAAACTCCCAGAGAAGAACCACTAAATACATAAATTTAATGTATGCATTCCCAGATGTCAAAAACTGAAGACTATAGGAAGAATTAAAATTTGATTTTGTACAACTCCCTTCTAAACCCTCTTCTCTGATAATATTAGCATAACTTACATTTGTTTTTCTCCAGCTCTAGGGTTGGGAGGCCAAAATAAAAAGTGCAAGATAACTATACCGGCTGGGTATGGTAGTAATCCTAGAGCCTTGGAGGCCGAGGCAGGAGGATCTTGAGTTCAAAGCCAGCCATTTATTCAAAACATTTTCCTCCAGTGAGTGCTGAAGGTTCCAAATATGGAAAATGGACCCTATATAAGTCACTGTTAAAACTAATATGTTTCAAATATTTCAGAAATAAAATTTGGTGATCTAAATAATAATAAAAAATGCACACAGGGCTGACTGTATCATTCAGTAGCAAAAATCTTAGGTACCATGTTGGAACACCTGGGTCTGTAAAGAGTAATAAGTACAGAAACCCAACCTAAAGCTATAAACTGGGTGAATATGTTTGGGGAACATTTGGGCGAGGGCTGGTACACACACCACACACACTTACACACATACACACACACACACAAACACACATACACACCAACATATACATTAAGTTATAGTAGGAGAAACAGTTGTTAAGGTTAACTTGGAAGAAGATTGTGATGGATCTTAAGCACCCTATTAGTCAAAGAATTCAGACTTCAAGCAGGAAGAAACAAGTTAAGATTGTCATTTGGGAAAGATAATTTTGGAGTCAGTGTAGACAATATTCTGAACCTAAACACTTAGAGAAAAAAAAAACAGTTAGTGTTGGATTAAGGCATATTATTCCTAAAATCAATAATTTGAAAAATTAAGCTCATAAAGTAGCTTCAAAGCAAAGGAAGGGTCTCTAAACTTCAAAAAAAAAAAAAAACCTCCCAGCATATTTAAAAAAACATTACATTTTCAACTATGTGATGATATAAATGTGCACCTATTTAATACACATATATCCTGCACTTTTAAAATAAAAAATTATAAAGGGAAAGTGAATGATATGGAATACTTGAGGTTTGTAGGAAAAGGAAGTTTTGGAACCAAGTTTCAATCAAAAAATGAAATCCATTCATGGGAAAAAGAATGGGAATTTGAGGCTATAGGAAGCTGTACAGAGGATCCCACATCTAGAAAAGAAAGTAAGTGAGGCAAGAACTAAACCTGCACATAGGTGGTCAGGCCAAGGCGAACAGGGTGACCAGCTGACCAGTTAGCTCAGAAGTGTGTTTTTCCAAGAGATGAGGTTTTCAGTGCTATAACTAAGCAACAGCCCTCAGAGGACCAGGGAGGCCAATCTCTTAAGCTACCATGGTGGAAATTCAGAGATTCGGGTGGTTTAAGAATACAGGTACTGTCATGATCTTTCAAATCTATCTGGGTGCAGCCCGAGATCAACATCTTCTTGAGAAAGACCCGAGGGCAATCCAGGCAGAGTGTGATGACCCTATCACCATACACGCATCTCAGCACCTCTGCTCCCCGCACTCCACATGCTGCTGCAGCAGCCTCTGGTCCACTGATGGTTGCAGAATTGGATGATTTGAAATATGTTAAAACACAAATTACCACATGAGCAAGAACAAAAAGTAAAGCGAGTTTGGTATAAACTGCTTTGTCCTTGAGGGGGATGGTGTTGCCCATCAGAAGTCGTAGTGAACCAGTGTGTAAAGAAGAACACTAGCCCTGTACTCACCTCAAGTGTGTGTTCAGTGCAGGCTCCTGCAAGGGCAGGATGTAGCCCCCACGGACATGAAGGTTAATGTGGTTGAGAGGGGCTTCAAGGTCCTTCCGCACTCCCCTGGCATTAGTGTTTGCACCCTGTGGGATGAGGAAACAGAAGATGAGGGAGAGGACACATTCTGCCCTGAACAGTGCATCTGGAAGAAGCCTCCTCTACCCCACTGAACGTGCTACCTACTCATCAACACTCAGCACCACCTGAGGGTAACCTTCTGCCTTCCCTCAGCTGCTGTGTGAAGTCCTACTGAGCTGCTTTATGTCTAGGAGGGTCCACTGCCTTTCAGCATGGCTACAGCACATCCCATTTGAGGTCCTAGTGTGGATAACAGCCCACCTTCACCCACAACCTCTTTCTGAGACACAAAGCACAGCTACCGGAGGCTGCACAGCCATTCCTTCACCTCTTGTTGGTTCCTCACACACTGTCCACAATTGCATGTCTGCAACTGTCCCTTCACCAAGTGCCTCCTAAGTCGCCATCTGTCCTCAGTCTCCACTCCCACCCACCTAACCAAAGGTTTTGCTTCCTACTTCACAGAAAAGATCAAAGTGAGCTCACATACTTTGTAATTCCTCTTCTTCTACTCCATGCCTGAGTGCTCATGATTGACATCTTTATCCTTCTCATGTGAGAGTGGATCCCTTGTCTGAACCAATCTCTAGAAATCCCAGGGGACCTTCCACATTTTCTCAACTAGAGCAGGGCTGCTCAGTGTTGGCACTACTGACATTTGGGGCCAGATCATTCTTTATTGTGAGGCTTCCCTATACTCTTTGATGTTTAGTAGCATCTTCAAATACTACCCACCAAACCCTAGAAGCCACTTACTTCTACCCCACTGTGACTTTCCAAATGAAGCCACACATTGACAAATATCCCCTTGGACACAAAAGCCTAAGGATGGTTCCATAGAGGTAATCAGAGTGGATATGGAAAACAAATAAAATGATGTATACTTTAAAAGTTTATTTACAAATAGATGAAAGCCAGATTTGGCAGGGGGCAGATTTTACCAATATCTACTGAACAACAAAGAATAGGGTCCAAAACATGTGAACATTAATTAAAGAAGCATTCCTTCATTAATCCCAACCAGAGGAAACTCATTTTTAACAAACATTAAAGTGTTCCTTTTCTCTAAGTAGTTTGCTGCATCAATTTTTATCTTTCCATTTCATTCTTTGTACCTCTCCTTCTTCAGCTGAAGCTGTATTCTACTAAAAATATAGGGTAAAAGAAGTCATTCTAGAAAAATTGTTTCTTAGTTCTCACATTTGGCTTTCTTTAATGTGGTACACATACTTATTTTAAATGCATTAATATTCATAAAGCAAACATTAGCCCTTCAACATAGTAAGAATCAGGGGGATATAAGTCCAGGATGCCAACACCTATAGCTCAGTACACTGCTTGGCACCTGTGTAAGGCAGGGGCCAGTAGGAGACTTGTGAGATGCCAGAAGTGCAAAATGTAGGGAAGACCTCACACCCCAGGTCACACAGTGCAAGCTCATCCACACAATGATAGGCCACACTACACTGGGTACCCAGGGTCCTCCCTGGTTTAACCCTACCCCAGGCCCTGCAGCAGAAAGTCCCAACACACTAAAACAACTGTTAGTGAATAGCACAGTCCACATGCACACTCAGGGCCAAGGCTAAGCTCAACTAAACAAAGTTGGCTGCTCTCTGCCCTGAAACTCCTGGCAGGAAAGCCCATAGCAGAATCCAAACACATTGCCACCCAAAGAAAAGACCCACAGGCAATAAAGAAGGGAAGACAGGAATGAGTGCTCCACAATACATAGAAGAGAGGACTGCACTTCCATTGCCTCACCCTGTTTTCACACAATCCCACTGCAATCCCTAGGATGAGAGGGGCCAGCACATGTGTTGCTCCCCACCTTCCTCCCGCATTTCTAGTCTCCCACATTGTTCTCCTCAGGAAGTCAGAAGAGGAAGCCTGACATCAGTGTGAGGACACTCCTCAGTCTTCTTCAAGAATCTTCTGTTTTCTAAAGGAACCCCCATCATGGAAAACACATTCAAACACCTTGTTCTTTCATCTGGACTCCAGGACACAGGCCAACCATATACACAACAGCCTTCTTCTCCTTCTTCTTTGGTCAATGCCTGTACACCTACTAGATTTGCAAGTAGAGGCCCAGGTCTGTGGATCCTTTGCACACTGCCTCATAGTCCACTTACTTAGGTAATTAATACAGAGTAATTTTGTTTCAGCATCTATACTGTAGAAGAAGAAATGTGAAAGAAGAGAGAGGGTGAAAGAACGCTCTCTGTATTTAGGGATTTTTCAGTAGGGGAGGATAAAAGTAAAAACTATAGCACAATTTTAAGAACTTACTAGTGTTTCAGAACAGGGAAGAGTGAATGTAGAAGAAAAGGTAATAAATGGCATGAATTCCCACAACAAGCTGAGTGAGAAACTGATTTGCTGTTTCTCAATGCTCCTGTGAAAAAGTGGACCTGGCACATGTGGAGGAGAGAAAACTGAGGCTACAAGGTTGTAAGCCACTTGTAAGAGACCATACAGCCAACTTGTTGCCTGAGGTCTATCAGATGTAAAATCTTTGTACCTACATGTTGCAAGTTGGAGAAATATTGAGAAAAACTTACTGTGTAGTAATCATACCAGCGGGCTTCAGGGAAATAGGCATTCACATTTCTGGCATTCTAAAATAAAACACAAACAAGCTGTGAGCATGAGGCACTGTTCTCAAGACCTATTAAGCAATACAGGCAGGAAAGGGATAGCCAGTTTGTGGTGGCCGATACCCATCTGTCTCAGAGTCCTAAAGATCAGCATTACTGAGGAAGTCTTCCATTCTTCAACATTTCAAACACAAGAAAAAAAAAACACAAAAAAAGTTGACAGTCCCAAAACAAGGGACTTCCACATAAGCCTTAGGGATCTAGGAAGTCACGAACAAGAATCACATTTGCTCACAGGCTCAAGGGAACATCCCTCTAGAAGATAAACACCTAGTTTCTTAAAATCTGATCTTATCGGAGTGAACACGGAGCGCGGGGCGGCCAAGTCCCGGCTCCCGGAACCGTCCCGGAACCGCCCTGGCTCCGGGCTGCGGAGCCTGCGGAGGCTGCTTCTTGGACCCTGCTAATATCAGAGCAAACACGAAACACCAAGAAGCCGAATTCCAGCTCCCGGAACTGAGCCCGCGGGGACTGCTTCTTGGAGCTTACACTTATAGGAGCTTACACTGAGCACAGAGCGGCCGAGTTCCGGCTCCCGGAACCGTCCCGGAACCGCCCTGGCTCAGGGCTGCGGAGCCCGCGGAGGCTGCTTCTTGGACCCTGCTACTATCAGAGCATACACCAAACACTAAGCGGCCGAATTCCGGCTCCCGGAACTGAGCCCGCGGGGGCTGCTTCTTGGAGCCTACACTTATAGGAGCTTACACCGAGCACGGAGCGGCCGAGTTCCGGCTCCCGGAACTTCCCTGGACCGGGGCTAGGAGCCCGCGGAAACTGCGTCTCGGTCCGGGTCCTGCTGAGGGCAGGTCAGGACTCACCCATTGCTTGGGTTGCCGGGCAAGGGGAACGAAATGCTGCCATTCGCATAGGATACCAACATGGCAGAGATCTGATGTCAGCAGAAAGTGGTGGAGGAGAGATCTTCATCAATACCAGCGGTGACATAAGCAGTTGGTCTTCTGGTAAGGGGGGTGAGGCTCAGTCACCCGAGTCTCCTCAATTTGTCCTCGAGCCGGAGGGAAGGAGCCGGGCCGCCGCCAGCCCCCGGAGCAGGCCCAGCTGCTCGCCAGCGTGGTGACCGCGTGACCCCAATTGGAGAGGGGGCGGAGCGGAGCCGCCACCCACACCCGCCAGGTGGGCAGACCCATGACCCAGTAGTACATGGGCGTGGTAGGAGGGGCAGGGCAGAGCCGCCCTTCGCGCTTGCAAGGTAAACAGACCTGTGACAGCCTGGCGGGTCAGGCCCAGTGGCCTGCCAGTGTGGTACACACGTCACCCCAACTCGAGTAGGGGCAGAGCAGATCCTTATCCCACGCCCGGATCAGGCCCTGCCGGTGTGGTGGTCACGTGACCCCAATTGGAGTGGGGGTGGAGCGGAACCGCCACCCGTGCCCGCAGGGTGAGCAGACCAGTGATCAACCTGCAGATCAGGCCCAGGGGTCCGCAGGCGTGGTAGGAGGGGCAGGGCAGATCCCCCGCCCGCGCCTTCAAGGTAGGCAGACCTACAACAGACCGGCGGATCAGGCCCAGGAGCCTGCCGGCGGGGTACAAACACCACCCTAATTGGAGTAGTGACAGAGCAGAGTCGCCTCCCTTGCCAGGAACAGACCCAGCATCCTGCAGGCGGGGTAGTCACGACACCCCAATTGGAGTAGGGGCAAAGCAGAGCCTCCACTCGTGCCCGAAAGGTGGGCAGATCTGCGACCGACCAGCAGGACAGGCCCAGTGGCCTGCTGGTACGACAGACACGTCACCCCAATTGGAGTAGGGGCAGAACAGAGCCGCCACCAGCTCCCAGAACAGGCCCAGTGACCTGCCGGCGTGGTAGCCACGACACCCCAATTGGAATAAGGAGAGAGCAGAGCCGCCGCCCGCACCTGCAGGAAAGATACGCAAGCAGTATGAAAAGACAAGGAAAGAAAGGACCACAAGCAATGCAGGTCAACGCAACTTTAGAAGAGGTAACAGCTGCAGCAGATGGAATGTCAGATAAAGAATTCAGGATATACATGCTTCAGATGATCTGGAGTATCAAGGAAGACATTAAACAGCAAAATCAGACAATGAAAGATCACTTCGACAACGAATTACGCAAACAAATCCAGGAAGCAAAGGATCAACTATACAGGGAGATAGAGGTTATAAAAAACAAGCAATCAGAAATCCTAGAAATGCAGGAAGCAATAAACCAACTTAAAAACTCAATGGAGAATACTACCAACAGAGTAGAACACTTAGAAGATAGAACATCAGACAATGAAGACAAAGTATTTCAACTGGAAAAGAACATAGACAGCTCAGCAAGACTGTTAAGAAACCATGAGCAGAACATCCAAGAAATATGGGATAACATTAAGAGACCAAACTTAAGAGTCATTGGGATACAGGAAGGTACAGAGCTCCAAACCAAAGGAATGAGCAGTCTATTCCATGAAATAATACAAGAAAACTTCCCAGACTTGAAGAATGAGACAGAATCCCAAATCCTAGAAGCCTACAGGACGCCGAATGTGCAAAATCATAAGAGATCCACACCTAGACACATTATAATGAAGATGCCCAACATACAGAATAAGGAGAGAATTTTAAAAGCTACAAGAGAAAGGAAGCAGATTACATTTAGGGGCAAGCCAATCAGGATAACAGCTGATCTTTCAACACAGACTCTGAAAGCTAGAAGATCCTGGAATAACATATTTCAAACACTGAAAGATAATGGGTTCCAACCAAGAATGGTGTATCCAGCGAAATTAAGCTTCAGGATGGAGAATGAAATTAAAACCTTCCACGATAAACAAAAGTTTAAAGAATTCGCAGCTAGAAAACCATCTCTTCAAAACATCCTAGCCAAAGTATTACAGGAAGAGGAAATGGAAAATAACAATGAAAACCAACAGTGGGAGGTAGGACAGTAAAGGGGGGGGGGAAACAATCAAAGAGGAAAACAAACAATGTTTAGTAACAGAAATAAACAAATATGGCTGGAAGAACCACCCATATCTCAATAATAACCCTAAATGTTAATGGCTTAAACTCACCAATTAAGAGACACAGGCTAGTAGAATGGATCACAAAACAAGACCCAACAATATGCTGCCTACAGGAGACGCATTTGATAGGAAAAGACATACATAGGCTGAAGGTGAAAGGTTGGGAAAAATCATATCACTCATATGGACTTCAGAAACAAGCAGGCGTGTCCATACTCATATCAAATAAAATAGATTTCAAGCCAAAGTTAATCAAAAGAGATAAAGAGGGACACTACATACTGCTTAAGGGAACCATACACCAACAAGACATAACAATCATAAATATTTATGCCCCAAACAATGGTGCAGCTATGTTCGTCAAACAAACTCTTCTCAAGTTCAAGAGTCTAATAGACCACCACACCATAATCATGGGAGACTTCAACACACCTCTCTCGCCACTGGACAGATCTTCCAAACAAAAGTTGAATAAGGAAACTATAGAACTCAATAACACTATTAATAACCTAGACCTAATTGACATATATAGAGTATACCACCCAACATCAAGCAGTTACACTTTTTTCTCAGCAGCACATGGATCCTTCTCAAAAATAGATCATATATTATGTCACAGGGCAACTCTTAGACAATATAAAGGAGTAGAGATATTACCATGCATCTTATCTGATCATAATGGAATGAAACTGAAAATCAACGATAAAAGAAGGAAGGAAAAAGCATACATCAATTGGAG